AGTGTTGGGATTACAGGCATGAGCCACCAAGCCCGGCCCTGGGGTCTCCTTGCTCAGGCTGGTCTCGAACTCAAGAGCGCAAGTGATCCACTTGCCTCGGCCCAGAACTAACATTTTAACATATGACTTTTTAATTTGGGAACTATTTGAAGTATGAAATTGCATTCTCATAATTTCATATTCTCAAATGCCGCACTGTGGTCATTTTTTCCCCTTCCCCTTCTAGAGGTAGCTTTGTAGCAAGTAACACGTATGTGTCAGCATTTAATGGGGCATCTCCTACTCCCGTCTTAGCTCTTCCAGTTGCAGTCTGATATTCTAACCTCCAAAGCCTCATCCATTCCACACACCTCCGTCCTGTCCCGTCCCTAAACCTCAGATTTCCAATGACCACTGCTTTTGTCAACTCCAGTAGGTTCCTCCTCAGCTACCTCTCGGCTTCGCAATACCTTGTTTGCTAATCATCCAAAGCCTTCCCAGGTCTGTGCATCTTCTCTGCCGTACGGCCGTCTTCCGCCAAGGTGGCGGCGCCCATGCTGTTCTCGCTAAAGCTACAGCCTCAGCGATGATCGGCCCAAGGGGCGCCGCCAACTTTTTTTCCCCCACCCCAGCCGGCTGAAGAGAACGCTGCCGTACCGTGCTGGCCTTGGCTGGACACTGGCCTCTGAAACTTAGGGCAGTTAGTATATAGCGCTGTTTAGTGTCCCTTCCACGAAGGAGGAAAGGCATTGAGGTGGCCAGTAATGCTTACAACTTGCTCCCGCAGGCATTATGGCCACTCCCGTCAGAAATGGGGGTGGGCGTGGCCATGTGACCTCATAGAGCGGCGCCCACAGTGGGAACTCCCGCCAAGCTCTGTGGGCCCTGTCTGCCTCAGTCACCGCCCCTCAGTGTCTCCATGGACAGCAAAGGAGGACGTCCGGATAGGAAGTGGTTTAGGGCGTGCATTCGGCATATTTTTGCTGCCAGTGGTGTCTGGATAGGGTTGGGATCAGGTGAGTCGGGTTCTGGGCGTGGATTCATGGCCTGAGGGGGGCGTGAAACTTGGTCGTACGTGGGAAGGGTCGCAGTTGGGGTTTTATTTGAACGCAGTCACTGAGGAAGCTGGGCGTTAGTGATGGACCTGTGGTTGTCCGTGGAGCCTGGAGAAATCATTAGAAACACTCGACTCTCTGGTTCGAAGTCTATGTGAATCGCTTTGCTTGTGGGACTCCGTGGTTGAGAACTGGGGCTAAAAGTTTTTATCGGTGAAGTTGGAGGGCTCGTTCAGGTTCGCTATTTAATATGGGGTTCGGTGTTAGAGAAGCCTGGGTTAAGGAGAGTCCACGTTGTTTTCGTGCACGTGTTTGTGGTGTATAAGGCTTTTAGTATGTGATGCAGTCAAAGTCGCCCGGTGGGGGCCTGTCAGTGTTTGAGGAGGCCCAGGGCTTCTGGAGAGTTTAGGTTCAAACAGGACAGACGGGAAGGGTACATTTCCCCTGTTAATTCAAATCCAATTTACTCTGTCTAATTCATGTCCATGCTCATGTTCCTTGCCAAAATCCTTACCAAAATTTTTTGTCTCCCGATGTCACTCTTCTCACTGTCCACATCAAATTCATACATATACACACACACAGAGAGACATGAAAAATAGGGAGAGATCTATGACATTAAAATTATTGATGACATTTCCTCATAAGCTATTCTAGAGTCAGCAGTGATGATGTCACATCTTTCATTCCTGATTGGGTAATTTGTCTTCTTTTTTTGCTTGATTAGCCTGTTTAATGGCTATCAATGTTGTTGATCTTTTCAAATGATAATCTTCTGTTCCACTAATTTTTTTCAGTTTTTTTGTTGTTGTTGTTGTTGTTGTTTGTTTGCTTGTTTTGGCCAGGGCTGGGTTTGAACCTGCCACCTCCGGTATACAGAACCGGTGCCCTATTCCTTGAGCTATAGGCACCGCCGTGTTCCACTAATTTTTTAAAACTGTTTTTTTTTGCTTTTTACTTTTTGGTTTCTACTTTATTTTTGTTACTCTCTCTAGTCATCTTGTTTTAAAGTTGTGTGCAAGTCGATCCTCTTTTTCTAGTTTTTCAAGTTAGAAAGTGAGAGTATTAATTTGAGATTTGTTTTTCTTTTCTGAGAAAGGCCTTTTTTCTTTCTGACATAAAGCTGTAAGTTTCCTTTAAATACTACTTAGACATCCAGCCAGTGTTTATGTTGTGTTTTTGTTTCCAGTCAGTTCAAGGTATTGTCCAATTTTCCATATGATTTTCTTTTTAAATGTGGTTATTCATAAATATGCTGTTTAATTTATAAATGATTGAGTATTTCCTAAATTTCAATCTGAAGTTGATTTGTAATTCAGTTATTATGGAGGAAAGATATATTTTGATTTTATTAACACTTGTGTTGCATCCTAGCATATAGTTTTTCCTAGAGAATGTTCCACATCCTCTTGAGAAGACTGTATATTTTTGCTGCTGCTGAGTGGAATGTTAAACATGAGTTAAGTTGATTGATCATGTTATTCAGGTTTTTTGTATCCTCACTGATTTTTTGTTTGTTTTCTTTATTATTGAGAATGGGGTATTGGGTGGTGCCTGTAGCACAGTGGTTACTGTGCCAATCACATGCACCGAGGGTGGCAGGTTTGAACCAGGCCCGGGCCAGCTAAATATTATTGTCAACTGTAACAAAAAATAGCCAGGCACTGTGACAGGCGCCCGCCTCACGTGTGTTTTTTAAACACATAATGCGCGGCGCCTGTGGCTCAGTAGGTAGGGCGCCAGTCTCATATACTGAGGGTGGCAGGTTCAAACCAAGCCCTGGCCCAACTGGAACAAAAAAAATAGCTGGGCGTTGTTGCGGGCGCCTGTGGTCCCAGCTACGCAGAAGGCTGAGGCAAGAAAATCACCTAAGCCCAAGAGTTGGAGGTTGGGCGAGGGCGATAAAGTGAGACTCTATCTCTCCAAAAAAAATAAAATAAATAAACACATAACGTCCAGATCCTTATAACCTTCCATGTGTTCTCTTTCCTAAATTTGATCTGCCTGAGAATTTACCTGTCTATCAGGGATTGTTCTGTTCTGGTTATGCTCTTCTTAATAGTCATGCTACTTTCACTTCACAAACAAAAGGCACACATTTAGAACCTTGTTTTATTGTCCAGAGTGTGAAAGCCTCTGAGACACTAAGTAAAGTAATGGTTAGAAATATTAGGGTCGTGGATAGGCCTGCAGTGGCTCACACCCATATTCCTAGCACTCTGGGAGGCAGAGGTGGGTGGATCACTTGAGCTCAGGAGTTCTAGACCAGACTGAGCAAGAACCAGACTCTGTCTCTACTAAAAATAGAAGAACTAGCCACATTATGGTGGGTGCCTGTGGTCCCAGCTACTGGGGAAGCTGAGGCAGGAGGATCATTTGAACCCAGGAGTTTGAGGTTGCTCTGAGTTATGATGCTATGGCACTCTACGCAGGGCAACAGAGTGAGATTCTGTCTCCCCCCCACCCCAAAAAAAAGAAAGAAAGAAAAAACAAAGAAAAGTTCTGATGCAAAAGTTTTTTACTGAAGGAAAAAACAAACAAACAAAAAGGAAATACTAGGGTCCTTTATTTGAGGTTAGTGCACAGCAGCAATGGCAATATTTAGACTAAACACAGTTCACTGTTGCTAAAGGTGGTGACAGAATGTAGAATGTACACTTAATGTCATTCTGCTCTTTAGCCCACAGGTCCTGGCTTCCCAGAAGTAAGAGAAATCAAGTGAAGAAATGAAGGAAGGAGAAATTTGCTGGCTTTGAATATCATCATTTCTGGGGATGACTATAGCTGGATACGAAGACTTCTGACTATAAGGATTTCTTAGCAGATACAGAAGAGACAAAATAAGTATAGTCTGTATTGCTCGCAGAAGAAAATGATCGAGGCCCAGGTGGTTTGGATTTATTATGTTTTCCTGGGTTTTGTTTGTTTATTTGTTTGTTTTTTTGAGACAGCCTCAAGCTATCACCCTGGGTAGGCTGCCATGGCGTCACAGCTCACAGTAACCTCCAACTGGGCTTACATGATTCTCTTGTCCCACCATCCCGAGTAGCTGGGACTTCAGGTGCTCGCCATGACACCCGGCTATTATTTGGTTGTAGTTGTCATTGTTTGGCAGGCCCAGATGGCTGGTGCCTTAGCATCTTGAGCTATAGGCACTACTTGTTTTCCTTGTTTTTTAATGGCTTTGTAGAGGTCTGAAAAAATCAGTTCAAGGAAAAGAGGTAAAATTGAGATAACTATTCTGAGAAGACTCTGCTTTTGAAAGCAGGGGTTGAGGTTCGTTCTGACTTTAGTAGATTCAATGTAAAATAATGTAAGTTTTATTGATGAAGTTCAAGACTCTTTGACTCATCTATGAATCATACACTAAATTGACTAGATTCAGCCCAATTTCACCACATTTATCTTGAAAGTTATTGAAGATATCTATTCCCCATGCCATTTGCAAGAGTTCGCAAAGCAAGTAACTTTCTGTAGCAAAGAAAATCTTCTGTTGTGACCTGAATGAAGTATAAAACCTGTGCCAACTCAGTAGTAGCATTTGATTCATCCAAAGTGATTAAATAATATGTCATTTCCTTTTGAAGCATAGCATGAAGTTTTTCTGTTAAGTTGAAAGCTAATTCAGTTATAGTTCTTCTTGAAAGAGGCAGTTGTTTGTACTTTGAAATGTTATCAGGGTCTAAATATCCTATAACTTCTTTCTTTCACAATTTCTATATCATTGAATGGCTTCCCCTTTTCCCCTGAGAATATGAGCTGCTTTATAAGTTGCTTCAGGGGCATTATTTCCAGGTTTTTTGTTTT